CGTTTGAAAATAATAGAAAGGGAAAGAGAACTATAAAAAGAAAGCGAAAAAAGAGGAGGGTTAGAAAGAGAAATGAGAAAGGGATGGAGAGAGGTGATTCAAGGGGAAGGAGTGATGCAGAAAGGAGGGATGAGCAGTGAAGACCAGCACTATGATTTATACCCTGTAATTTTCTCCCTCACTACCTCCCCTCGGCTTCCAACACAGCATCACATTTACTTGTGTTTGCCGTCTTTCTCTTGCCCTCTCGCATTCCTCTGGAATATCCCTTCTTCTTCTCTTCAGACGGACCAGCTGAACAGATTCAAAGTGGCATTTAAGAGTTGCAACTGGCATAAAACCAACATTTGTATTTGCAGCCCAATGTGATGCATCTCTTAGCGAAACAGGATATGCGATAACAGGAACTTGATTTTATCCATCATGAAACGATTTAATTGATTGGTGATGTCAAATGAAAAAGGAAAGACATTTCAGAGATCGAATGAATTGATACTTTTTTTTTTATGGAAGACTGAGTAGTATGTACACTCTTAAAAATAAAGGTGCTTCACGATGCCATAGAAGAACCTTTCTTGTCTAAATGGTTCCATAAAGAACCTTTAACATCTTTTACCTAGTAACTTTCTGTTTCACAAAAGGTTCTTTGTGGCGAAACAAGGTTCTTCAGATTATAAACCGGTAAGAAAGAGATGGGTTTTTAAAAGAACCTTTGACTGAATGGTTCTTTGTGGAACCAAAAATGGTTCTTCTATAGTATCGCTGTGAAGCACCTTTATTTTTAAGAGTGTACTAAAAAAAAATAGAAATAATAACTGTTTTAAAATATTGCAACATTGCTTTATTTATTTATTTGCAAAAACGTGACTTGCATTACTTTTTCCACTAATCTTGGCTTTAGTGATTATTATAAAAATAAAGATTTATAAATGTCTAGTGTTCAAACATTTGGGGTCAGTACAGTTATTATTGTATTCTACAAAAATACCATGCAGCAAAACTCAATGATTTCAACACTGATGATATTAAGAAATGTTTCTTGACCACCAAATAAAAAAAAAAATTATGATAATTAAGCATCATGTGACACTGAAGACTGGAGTAATGTCTGCTAAAAAGTTCAGCTTTGCATCACAGGAATAAATTACATTTTAAAATTCAAATTCAAATAGAAACTGGTTATCTTAAATTATAGTTATACTTTTAAATATTTATTGAAAAAGTCATTTAGGATATTATGGTGTAAGGAGTAATATGAGCGTGTTACTTTTGAGACGTTATCGCCAGCACTGGTTAAAGTAAATGGGGTTTGCATGTTGGCTTAGGGGACATTTAGTGAGCGAGCAGCTGATGTGTTTTGGATACTTTCTCTGGGAGGTTTCCTCTCTCAGCATAATGCCCACCCATGACTCTCATTCCTGAAAGCAGTTTGATGAGCTCCAAAAAGTGTCTAATCGATCACTTTGGGTTTTTATCTCTTGTTTGCGTGCCAATAAGGCTCCATTTGCAAGCTTGCACTGATACTCGTAAGAAACCCTGAGTGTAAACAAGCATGAAAAGAATGACTAATGCATCCAGGGTTGGATGAATGCTTTTGGCTCTCTTATATAATTAGGCCATGAAATGAGTTCAGCGGCTGAATCTATTAACTTTAGCGTTGAAATAGAGCCCCTGAAGTAATAATTACTCCAATTCATCAGACGGCGTGTTCTGTCATGGGCATTACTGAACTGAGAGATTCACAGGTTTTCTGTGTGTTAGGATTGTCCTTTTCAGAGTTACTCAAAAGAGATTTTAGTCAAACTGTTGGCTTGCTTTCTTACCAGACAGTAAATGATCTATCTTTTGTCTTCTTTTGTTTCTTTCAGGTGTAATGAGAGGGGAGTTTGTGAGCAGATGATGGACGTTGAGGCGTCATATTCAGAGTTCATAAACTGTGATCGTACAGGTCGCAGGAACGCAGTGCCAGACATTAAAGGAGAGGCAGTAGCGATGGGGACCAGTGAACTAACCAAAGACATGGCTCAGATGGACCTGAAAGCTGCAGGTACGTCACACAGCTTCACTTCTTCTTGCAAGGCAGCAGCTGTATTGATATTCCTCCAACATTCTCTTCTCCTCATTCAGAGTTCTGAATGAACTATTTGAGAATGAGTTATTTTCTCCTCACCTCTTCTTCTCCTCCTCCTCCTCTCCCTAAAACCTCCTTCCTTTACTACTTATTTTTCTTCTCCTCCTTTCTCTAAACCTTCTTTTTCTTCTACTTCTACTTCTCATTCTCCTCCTCTCCCTAAACCCCCTTCCCTTTCTTCTCCTCCTCTTACTAAACCTCATTCTCTTACTTCTCCTCCTCCTCTTCCTCCTCCTCCTCCTCCTCCTCTTCCTAATCCTCCTTCTCTTACTACTTCTCCTCTTACTAAACCTCATTCTCTTACTTCTCCTCCTCCTCTTCCTCCTCCTCCTCCTCCTCCTCTTCCTAATCCTCCTTCTCTTACTACTTCTCCTCTTACTAAACCTCATTCTCTTACTACTTTTCCTCCTCCTCCTCTTTCTAATCCGCCTTCTCTTACTTATCCTCCTTTTACTAAACCTCATTATCTTACTTCTCCTCCTCCTCCTCCTCCTCCTCTTCCTAATCCTCCTTCTCTTACTACTTCTCCTCTTACTAAACCTCATTCTCTTACTACTTCTCCTCCTCCTCCTCCTCCTAGTCCTCCTTCTCTTACTTAGGATTTAGTTTCGAAACGAGATGCAAAAGTGCCTATTTGGCAATATTTGGGATTTTGAAAAACCTGTTGACTTTTATCTAAGGTGATTTGGAAGTTTTTTTAAACATTCGTTTCTTATTTAATTGGTTCCACATTGTTTGCTGATTTTTACTTTATTTAAACTTTGTGTCATTTATTTATTTTATTTGACATCAAGGTATATGCTGTTCCTCCAAACTGTCTTACTCGTTTTGCTAATAAACGTTCTACGTTTCTTATTTATTTGGTTATATATTATACATGTTTACTTATTTCCATTACCATTACCATTACCTGATAGGCTTGCCGCGATAGACGGTGCTGACGGTGATACCGGTGTTAAGCCGCAACACCGGTTACGTCACTTGCCCACCGCGTCACCGACCTCCACCGTCGATTAGATTTTTTATAGAAATAAAAATAATTTAGTTCAGTAAAAGAACAGACACTACAATTAAAAACTGAATGCGGCTCCTCAATGTAGCGTGCCGAACGACAGTTGCATCACAGATCAGATTTCATTTCTCCAGTGAGTCAAGTCAAGTCAGGTCAAGTCACCTTTATTTATATAGCGCTTTTAACAATACAGATTGTGTCAAAGCAACTGAACAGCATTAATTAGGAAAATAGTGTCAATAATGCAAAGTGACAATAGTAAACACTCATTTTTCAGTTAAAGACAGTTCATCATTGAATTCAGTGATGTCAACATCCAGCTCAGTTTAAATAATATCTTTGCAATTATGTCAACGATATCGCCGGAAATGAAGTGTCCCCAACTAAGCAAGCCAGAGGCGACAGCGGCAAGGAACCAAAACTCCATCGGTGACAGAATGGAGAAAAAACCTTGGGAGAAACCAGGCTCAGTCGGGGGGCCAGTTCTCCTCTGACCAGACGAACCAGCAGTATGGAAAAATCAATTTAAGACGTAATAAAACAGACGATGAACAATATTAACAGCAATTATTATATGATGCAATCAAACTTATAGCAAAATATGGTAGTTCTGTATGTTGTTTCATGGTTGGCATCATCTGAGGTCCTCTGAGGGCTTGCATCATCTCTTCTCAGGTGTTCTGGATCCAGACTGAAGCTTGTGTACTACTTCTCCTCTTACTAAAGCTCCTTCTCTTACTATACTTCTTATTATTCTGCTACTTCTCCTTCTTCTTCGTCTTGTCACCCTCCTCCTAATTTTTCTCCTCATCCTCCTTTTCCACAGTCTTTTTCTTTTTCTCCTTCTCCTTCTTTTAAACCTCCTCCTCATTCTCCACTTTCTCCTCCTCCTCTTTTTTCCTCCACCTTCAACAACCCCTAAACTACCACTGTCTCCTTCTCTCCTCCGCCTCCCCCTACACTTCCTTCTCCTCCTCCTACATCTTATTCAACATTGTCATCTTTTTCTTCTCCTCCTCTTCCTCCCTTCCTTCTCCCTTCTCCTTCTCCTCCACCTTCAACTACTTCTGCTTATCCTCCTCCTTTTTGTTCTTGACTATTAATGTGGTTTTGTGTGTGTGGTTTTGCACTAATGTTATGTCAAAGAATGTAAGAATAAAACCTTGCTTTGTTAGAATGTTCCTAATAACAGAAATGATATCATCTGTTTTGCATTTATTTGCACAAAGAGTTGCGATTTAGTCCTTTATATATTATCTATTAGATCATCTATACTTTTTTACATTGAAATATGTAATGTAAACACGAAAAATGTAACACTATAAGTGAACTGTAATATAAAGTGGCTATATGAAAGCTAACCTTTAAAACTTTGCAAAAACACTCTGCACTGCTATTTCCTCCAGTACGTTTTTTGGTATTCTGACCGCAGTAATTTACTTTAGTAATTCTGCACAACTATCGGCTCTTTCATCGCATGAACAGCACTAATGTCTCCTGACTGCCAGTGGTCTATCAGGTCATATTTGTTATGCAACACTGCATCAGTTTGGCCCCTGTAATGACTTGCTTTGTGAATACGGTAAGACTGTGATACATGAACGCATTACAAGTGTCGTTCACAAAAGAGGACAAGAACCAAAGGCTTTCACTTGCCTTTCTTTCACAACGTCCCTTACTTTATCCAGGACACAGCTCTACAAGGTCACGGTGTCCAGATTGAACATTAATAGGTTTGGTGAGTTTGAATGGAGTCTGTCATCAATGACAAAGATTTATTATCTGCCCTCTCAACGATAACTGCTTCCTTGACCACTTCCTATTCGTATGACAAATTTCAACTCTTTCCTACTGAAATAAGAGCAGCATCTGTCTCTATTTGACCCAGTTTCCTTAGTTCACATTCTTGGCACCATTTTATCTCTGAAATAACCTGAGACTTTCCCATGACCACGAGGTCCCTGTTAAGAATGTTTAGCTGGAGAATATACTGGGCATGCAATGTTGTAGCGAAAAGGTTTGTAATATCTGTGTCTTGTAGAGGGAGATGCTTCTGGATCTCCAGCCCCTGAAGCAGAGGCATCTGGGAGCCAGGATAAACAGGGGACAGAGGGACCGTCATAAAGATGAAGAATGACCTGGAGGAGAGAGGAAAGCTGGGGGAGTTCTTTCCTTTTCTCATCAAAATTCTCCTCATCTTTGCTCATCAGGCAGCAGTGAAGAGCTCCTCTCATAGACTGCCATTAAGGTGGATGTCCACCCATTGCATGCTGTTGAGTGCCTAAGAGACAGATGAAGAAGACACTGCCTTTGCAAACACCACTAAATGGGACGAATCTGTCGTGGACTGTATTCATTCACAGCGCAGAGTGAGGGAAGTTTGTTTTTTCTAACAGCGGTCGAACAGAAGCACAGGCGTTTTGATATTTTTCCATCCTAAACTTAAACTAAACAGTTCAATCTCGTGCTGAGTTGCTGTTAAAACAAATACTCTAAACTATAAAGTACCAAATATAGCCTTTTTGTTACAGCCTATGACATGGATGGCTCAGTTTAAATTAAAAAAAACAAAACAAAGACCACTACAGTTGAAGGTGGTCTGACTATAGAACAGAATTCCCAAATATTGCCTGAGGTCAGAAGAGGTTTGTTTCTATACTTCATTATATACTGTAACATAATTAACAATATTTATGTAGTATCTGAGTTACTGCTTTCTGCTCCTGGCACTGTTTTGTGGTTTTTGTCAGACTCTCAACAACACTCGTTGAAACACATTGCATTTATATTGTGACCTATAAATGTAAGTACCTCAAAATAAACAGGAATGACATTCAGTGTCTTTATTTATTGATTTTTTTTTTAAAGTTGGGTTTGGATGTATTTGAAGGAAAAGTGTAATTTATGAAAATGATTATACAAGTAAGGGATAGTGTACAATCATTATGTCATTATACTCCCCAAATATGTGGACATGAAATTGAAATGGTTGAATAGTTGAAATTACACTTTAACATGTGTAATCTTATGTTTCCACTAAGAAAAATATTCCGTTAAGGGCCCGTTTACACAGTTGACTATTGCTCCATTGTTTTTCTGTGTAAACATGCACTTAGTAGATGGGTGTGTAAATGCGATCTATGTGAACTCAAAATGTACAAAACAGGTGGCTTAGTAAAAATACGAACACTACATCAATTACAATAACATTTTTGATAAAGTCCTCATATATATATACACATCTATATATTTATCATTATTAGGCCTATATATATTTATTTATTTTTTACTACAATTAATAATCGAGACGCAAGATGGCGCCAGTTGCGTTTGTATGACACGAGAGATTAATTTCAGACATTAATGGCACTATTTTCAGTTAGGCTACGCGAATCAGCGGACTGATATAAACCGTGAACAAAAGACAGAATTCGTAAACATCAGGCCACAGAGTGCCACGATTTACCAATAAAGACGCTATAATTAAAACATAAATTTTTTTTTTTGTGTCATAAACAGGACAAGAATTACACAACCATTCAGATGCAAAAGTATTTGTATTGATAGTTTACACAGTGACAAGCTCTCAGTCCCTTACTTCCCACATCATTTATGGTTTTTGTCAGACTCTCAACAACACTCGTTGAAACACATTGCATTTATATTGTGACCTATAAATGTAAGTACCTCAAAATAAACAGGAATGACATTCAGTGTCTTTATTTATTGATTTTTTTTTAAAGTTGGGTTTGGATGTATTTGAAGGAAAAGTGTAATTTATGAAAATGATTATACAAGTAAGGGATAGTGTACAACCATTATGTCATTATACTCCCCAAATATGTGGACATGAAATTGAAATGGTTGAAATTACACTTTAACATGTGTAATCTTATGTTTCCACTAAGAAAAATATTTTGTTAAGGGCCCGTTTACACAGTTGACTATTGCTCCATTGTTTTTCTGTGTAAACATGCACTTAGTAGATGGGTGTGTAAATGCGATCTATGTGAACTCAAAATGTACAAAACAGGTGGCTTAGTAAAAATACGAACACTACATCAATTACAATAACATTTTTGATAAAGTCCTCATATATATATACACATCTATATATTTATCATTATTAGGCCTATATATATTTATTTATTTTTTACTACAATTAATAATCGAGACGCAAGATGGCGCCAGTTGCGTTTGTATGAAACGAGAGATTAATTTCAGACATTAATGTCACTATTTTCAGTTAGGCTACGCGAATCAGCGGACTGATATAAACCGTGAACAAAAGACAGAATTCGTAAACATCAGGCCACCGAATGCCACGATTTACCAATAAAGACGCTATAATTAAAACATTAAAAACATTTTTTGTGTCATAAACAGGACAAGAATTACACAACCATTCAGATGCAAAAGTATTTGTATTGATAGTTTACACAGTGAACTACAATTAATAATCGAGACGCAAGATGGCGCCAGTTGCGTTTGTATGACACGAGAGATTAATTTCAGACATTAATGGCACTATTTTCAGTTAGGCTACGCGAATCAGCGGACTGATATAAACCGTGAACAAAAGACAGAATTCGTAAACATCAGGCCACAGAGTGCCACGATTTACCAATAAAGACGCTATAATTAAAACATAAATTTTTTTTTTTGTGTCATAAACAGGACAAGAATTACACAACCATTCAGATGCAAAAGTATTTGTATTGATAGTTTACACAGTGACAAGCTCTCAGTCCCTTACTTCCCACATCATTTATAGTCCGTATATTTTCCTATGCAGTTCAAACTATACAACACAAAATGTAAAACCTGATACAATTAATTTTCGCTATAGGCTGATTAACTCCAAACCCGAGTTATATAAACCGTCTTTTGGTAAATGCCCTCTGGTGTTAGAACAAAAGAACGACCAAATTTAAAGGGGTTTTGCACAGCATTTCATCACCAAACGTCTAATAATAACTTTAATATTAATAATCAACGCTTACCCAAAGGTTTGTATACAATATACATTAGATGAGCACCAGACAAGATCATATTCTGGTTTAATGGTTTGGATTTATACATTATTGCCATTGTAAAATTTTAGAATAAAGCTGAGGTACTATTTAATTTCATTCTCACAGTACCTTTCACATGTTATACAGATTAACATGCTTCATATAAAAGATTTTTTTCTTTATTACATTGTCATATTCTGTGCATATATTGAGAAGAGCATAAAGTATAGTGACTTAGACTTGAGTAAATATGAAATAAGACCAATATTTAATGTTTAGGCTACAGATATTACAATACTTGTAAAAATGTTTATGTAGATGAAAGGCAACAACATTTGGTCAAAACCAGTATGCTGTAACGGTGGTTAAATGACATGTGTAACATTTATTTTAACGAACAGCATGTTAACTTCTAAAGTTGAAAGTTTTTATGTGTGGTCTTTGTTTTTGTGTAAAAATTTCACTGAGAAATGTGTGTACGAGTTCTCCAGTTTCAAGGAATCAGGATCCACAATCGTGTGAGAAGGCAAATGTCCTGAAAGGCTCTGCTCGCTGCAAACTTGTTTATAACAGTACTGAGCTCAAAAGCCTGTTTTTTTCAGCATGCCGTAGGCCTCATAGAGTTGTTCAAGAAGCTCCTCTTTCTCCTTTGCAGGAAGAAAGCAGGACTTTGCTGCATTTATATTCTGTGAAAACAGAAGCAGACAGGATCATTCAAGTCACTTATGCCATGACCAGAGTCCATTAGAGAGCCTGTTTAGGCAAATTGTGTCTCACCAGTCTCTTGAACTCCTCTTCAGTGAAATCCATGTATTTCTGCACCACCTGGTAGTCTGAGTTCAAGGTGGAGTTGAAGATGGTAGGGTCATCTGTATTTAAGGAGTAGTTAGCTTTGTCCTTCTTGAATCTGAAACACACAAGACTTTTAAAACTTGAACTAGTTAACTCTAGATCATTAAACAGAATCCTGGGTTAAACTGATTCACATTCCCTTTGATTTTGGCCACCTA